GTTGGCAAAGTAATGTCTCTGCTTTTTAATATGCTGTCTAGGTTGGTCATAGCTTTTCTTCCAAGGAGCAAGCATCTTTTAATTTCATGGCTGCAATCACCATCTGCAGTGATATTGGAGCCCAAGAAGACAAAGTCTCTCACTGTTTCCATTGTTTCCCCATCTATTTGCCATGAAGTGATGGGACCGGATGTCATGATCTTAGTTTTCTGAATGTTGAATTTTAAGCCAGCTTGTTTACTCTCCTCTTTCACTTTCATCAAGAGGCTCAGTGGGTTGGGATCAACAATTAAAAAAAAAGCCTGCTATTGACAGAAATGTGTGTGTGTGTGTGTGTATGTGTTTACACACTGGGTTGTGATCTAAAGCATCTCTTTCTGTGGAATGAAAGTTTAAAAATTCAGACAGGCACTGCCTCATATGACTAAAACACTTCAGACCTTCTAAAACACTATCAGAGTTGGTGTGAACTAATATTAAAGGCTTTCAACAGCCTAAAAATTATATTCTAATTCTGGCTTTTGTTCATTTATTCAGTCATTCATTGATGACAGTCCAAAGATCAAAAATTCCGTATGTAATACTGGTGCTTATATGATGAACACAGTGTCTGACTTAAGTAGATGCTAAAAAAAAATATGATAATGAAAGAACAAGTGAAATTATTCATTAAATTATAATAAATTATTAGGTAATGCTTTGCCTCATCTTTCCAGTTATTTTTTTTTTATAAACTTGCTTCTCTTCTCCCTTCTAACCACATGCTCCTAAATAATTTTTTCTGGGTAGAATAAACCAAGAATACTTGGATGGACATCCCAAGTTCAACATGAAGGCTGAGGCGGGACTTCCCTCTTTGCTGTCACGCTCACCCAAGTGAGGACAGTGCTTGGCTTGCATTGGACCACTCTGACCACACGGACTGTGGTCACATCCATCTTATCACAGTCAAAGGTTGGATCTGTGGGCAGGACATAGATACTCATGAAAGACAGAACCAGGAAGACTTGGCTGAAATGGATTTGCTTTATTCAAAACAAGTTGTGTCTTCTGAAGGTAAGGTCTTTGGGAAAATGTTCCAATTCTCTATACAACTGACCTCATGTAACTGAGAAAGGTATCACATGACCACAGTCTCAGCCCCTGAGCAAGATGCTGCAAGAAATACGAGAAAGTATCAGTTGCTTTAACCAAGAGATGCCAGTTGTAAGTGAGAAGGAAATTCAGGTTGGGCAGAAACCACATAAAATGCGCCGAACAAGATAGTCTGTAGATTGCACAGCTAGACACATGGGACAGGAGCTGTAGGAAGCACAAGAGAAGTGCTCAGGTAACATCCTGAAGCCTGAAAGCTGGATTCTAATGGGCCTAAGGCCTCTTCATTAGGTGCTTCTGTTGTGTGATGTTTTATAAACCATTAGCGAGATGACAGTCTCCAGGCATTCTCTTCCAGAATGGCAGGCCTCCCTTGCTCACTCCAGGAGTCAGTGCATCCCTCCAAGACTCGATGGATTTCTGGGCTGTTCCACCTTGTGCCTCCCCGGTCACACTATTTTGAGGGTTGACGGGGAGGAGGGTGAATAGATTTACGACATGGTTAACTTTTAGCAGAAATGAATCACGGGTCAGAGTGACATCAGCTGGCTTCTCAATGACTATCCAGAGATACTGAAGGGAAGGCCTTTCTAGAAGCAAACAGCTGAGAAGGTACATGGGATGAAGATTAGAAAAAAGCAGAATTAATAGTAGAAGCAAAACTTGAACATTTCAAAGTTAATCTATGAAAACAGACTAGAAGCAGGAAGGATTTAATCCCCAAAAGAGAAGACTGAGGAGTGATCTCATTAGGATCTTCAAAAATATATGAAAGATGATTTTATAGGGACTGGAGAACTAGCTCTTTTAAATCTTAAACTGAACTTTGAATCATTGAGGCTCCTTCTGAAAAAGTGCACCTTTGTTTCTATTTTACTTAATATTTCTCAAATGCCTCTTCCTCACCTTCCAGTTGTTAAATATTAAATTCAATTGACCTGTGTATGTAGGGCTCTGGGTAACCCCTGAGAGGTGTGGAGGATTTTACAGGAGGTCATCTTTCTTTCCAAAGGGGTCTCAAGTGAGGCTATGCAGCATATTAGATACTTGCTTTACTAGGGAGTTTTGGAAAAGGGATAATGAAGGAGAGAATAGTCGCATGACCCAGTTGTTCTGTTCTGTTCCATGGTTCTGTGTTCCATTCATCTATTACTTTATTTTCAGATTCTCATTGAAGTCTAGAAAGTCATGAAGTTGCTCCTGAGGATGGGTGTGTGTGATGGTTTCCTGTCTCCAGAGAAATGGAAATGGGGCTAACCAGGTTTGTGGAAACAAATACCTGTTACCAGTTTAATACCAGTAGAAAATGGGTCTTGAAACTTTGAGCTTGAGGTTTTGAAATCAGCAAGCTCTTTATTGTTTCCTCTTTTTTTTTTTTCATTTATTTTTATTAGTTGGAGGCTAATTACTTTACAGTATTGTAGTGGTTTTTGTTATACATTGACATGAATCAGCCATGTATTTACATGTATTCCCCATCTGGATCCCCCCTCCCACCTCCCTCTCCACCCGATCCCTCTGGGTCTTCCCAGTGCACCAGGCCC